TTTTAAAGAATCATCTTGAAAATGTTTAGCAGCCTCCTCTGGCCAGCACAGCTGATGATAATTTAATTTACGAAAAATTATTTCAATTAAAGTAAGCCACTGATCCGCAGCTTCGATTCCTTCCGCCGAATTTTTTGATTCGGAAACTTTCATAAGGAGCTGTTGTTCAATTTGTTGTTTTCCTTCTAATACCTGAGTTAATGCCTCTATTTGATCTTTATTGTCTTTTTCAAACTGTTCTTCCATTTGTTCTTCCATTGTATCCTTTTCTATCTCTTCTTCTTCTTCACGGAAATTAATTGGAAGGGCTGAGGTTGTTGTTAAGCTGTTGAGCAATTGAGGTGGTAACGGAGAAAATATTCTGGATTGCCGGCGTAAATTTTTTTTTAAAAGACAAGTTGGGTTTTTGCTGTTTAGGAGGAGAACAATCTTGCAAATCACTGGTTGAAAGATTTTGATAATTTGTTTTGGATCTGGTATTGTGATATGGTGCGTGTGTCATGCGCGAGAAATATTATTTACACCGTCACCCTTGTGCAAGAGAGCGGTAAAGCTGACAATGTGTTTATTAATTATGACACTAACTCCGTCTCCAAATGAAGGAGCGGACACCTAACTAACTTAACTGTTAGTTAGACTGTTTATTAACTTAACTGTTTATTTATAAAGATACACTGTCGCTGTTGCAAAGAGCGATAAAAAATTCAAATTATCCAATCTTGTTGTTAAAAAAACACCGTCTCCCTGCGATAAAGTTTGAACTATACTTTACTTTCAGCGAGCTCCGTCTCCCAGGAAGAGAGCGATAATTGAGTTAAAGTTTTCGCAAGTTATACCACCGTCTCCAAATGACAAGGTTGAGTTATGCTGTTATGGTAAAAACTTAAATACTGTTGGTGTATGAAACAATACCTGACTTACTTGACTGGATATGCACTTAAAAATGATCTCGTAACAAAATGAATAAACGCGTATTTAAAACAACAAGAAGAGGACGGCGAACTAGTATAAGAAACTATAGTCAGTATATATCGAAGAGTGAATAAATGACGGATAAATAAAAGTGAGGAAATAAAAAAAGGAATGAAACAATAAATATAACTGTGCACACTGTGTGTTAGCCATGCCAGCAGAATAGCCCGCTAACAAATACCTTGCTGAATAATTCAATGATGTCGTATTAACTATAAAAATAATTACCAGTTAACGAACAAACAGGTGTTGTTATTACGATATTAAGTTCAATACTGAACATTCGGCCAGGCCCCCACTTGTTAGCTTGTGATATGATTTAAAAGGATTCCGTGGTTCCCTGATATAGCTAACAATACTTAAACCAATGTGTTAATGATAGTAATATATTGAGAAATCAATCAAAAACGATATAATAAAACGAGCAACTGCGGTAATGTCACACACTTAAGTAACGTACACTCTTTCTGCTCTCGTACACACTCTACGATAAAACTGAAAAAACATATATTATATATACTAAAGATAGAGAAAAAAGAATAGTCAAAAGCATAGAAGCTCGTCTCAAGAGCAAGAGCAAAAAAGGGAGCTGAAATACAGTGAAGATATAAAGACTGCTACTTGAACTATGTCCAGAAAGAAAGAGAAGCTCTTGTCCTGACATGTGAGAAGAAAATCCCGTGCCTTGATACGTGGGAAAATAAGAAAAGTAAAGGAATTCAACATAGGACTAGTGCAAGAAGTCTCTAGACTTAACACGGTTGTCTCTGTTTTTAGGATAAGATTGTAATTTAACAATTTAGTGATGTTACATACTATTTTCTCCAAACTCCAAAAGTTCCTCGACGGATGTACCAAGACCCATATCGAAATTATCGAAGACCTGACTGTGCCCTATCGTATTTGCTCTCTTCTGTGTATTTACAAATACTATAGAAAAAGTTACTTTCATCTTCTACTATAGAAATATTCACTCTGTCTAATGCATTTTCTTAAAAAGCTCCCAATACTCTAAGTTAAAACTAACTAGTTAGTTCCCAACACCCTAACATATGAGATATTTAGATTTAAGCAAAAATTTGATACGAATGTGGGGAAAATTCTATGTAAAAACAAGTCAGCCACCAACACCACCTTAATACTTGTCAACAAAAAAATTTAAAGTAAAAATTTGGTGCAAGTTCAGTAAGAAAGCTAGCTCACACCCTACATTTAGTGAGCAATTAGCTACCAACACCTAAAAGACACTTATTTTATGACCAGTAAATATTCATAAAATATCGATTGAGTAAGACGAAACATTTCAGTGTGTAGGGTGTTGGTAGACAACCGCAAATCTAAATAATCATCCATTTGACTTATAACTGTCTGTTATGTCATCTTGATTTTTTTATCTAGCTGTTAACTGTTATTATATACTTATACATGTCAGCTATCATTTGCCAATAGCGATTTGTCTAATTATTCTTATTTGCTTATTACAACGAAAATGGATATTGATCCCAACAAAGATGATAGTGGCCATCGTGGTGTTCGTCCGGGGACTGGTCGTAAGCGAAAGGAAGTACCTTCATCAATTCAAGCCATAACAGATGAAAGAAGAGCACAAGCTACACTTGGACAAGAAATATCAAGATACAGAGCTAAATTGACAGTTCCGGTAAATGGAATAAGATGGTCACATCAGGTATCGTGATAATGCAACTGCTTTGTTGATTATTTTTAATCTCCTGTTGGAAGATGTTAACCTAACATAAACAAAGCAATTGCTAAAGCTGGTCTGTATTTAGGTCGTGGTTTTCAGCGGAACCAGGAATTTTTGGGTTAGTGGGCTGAGCCCTAGACTTTTCCAAAACGCATTGGAAGCAGATTCGGCGAAAGTACGTAAACCACCTGTTGAGCAGTATTATTTTAAGTAGGGATTAATTAATTTCCGGTAAAGTAATCCTCCAATATTGACCGCTATGATCATC